CAAGATTGGCCTGGGCCACACATCGTCCTGTGCAAACTGAACTGAACTGAACTGAACAGTCGCTTCGTAAATTTGGGATCTCAAGGTCACGGTTTTGTGCGCGCAGATTGTCCCGCTATCCATGTAGCGCTTGCTGTCCCTCGAAATGCCAATCAAGAGAGGGCATGTTGCCCCTCAAAACACCTACATTGTTACATTAATCAGAAGTTTTGATTCCCAATGTATGTTATTGATATGCGTTATTCAGTCTCTTCAGGCATAAATTTCCTCGCTGCCAATGCTATGTTTCACACGAAGCCAATAATCTATTGCAGTGATGGATTGTGTGAATTGTTTGGCTATACAAAGGGACAGCTGATGCTCAAATCTTCTACCTTGAAAGTACTTTATGGCTCCGAAACTTCCGCTGAATCCATTGAAGCCTTATGCTTAGCACTGGAGGAAACGAAAGAAACAGAAATCACCATGAACTTGTACTCGAAAGAAGGTATGAAATTGGCAGTATTAAGTTAGAAAACTATTGAAGGATTTCTTTTACCGTGTCGGATTAATGTCACACCTGTTCGCGATGAAAATGGACAACTACCACTCTATCTACTTTTCTTCTATCGGGACACGGGTGATTGCGCCGCTCAAGATACACTAACTAAAAGTGAGCAAACGGCTTTTTTTGAGTAATATCTTTGCAGGGTCCAGCTTTCGGTCGCGTCTTCAACTAAAGCAATTTCTTTCTAATCGTAATTCTGATGTTCAAAGACGAACGCAACATATCAATGCTATCAGTATGTTGTTAATTCTATCACCGTATTTTGTAGAACCGTCGAAAGCATCAGGGGTTAAAAAGAAGAAAGATGACTACCGGAAGTCATCAGAAATCTCAATTCCAGCTCATGGAGATGGCATTTCAGGTACTCGATTGTTACAGTGCTCCCGACATTTAAAATTTATAATTTCCCAGTGTTTGTTTTGCATTCATAATTCACCACCTACCGTTTGGGCTTTAATCTGGATAATAGTGTGTAGTCATTGTGAGATTTTGGAGATCTCAACGTGATTGCATTAAAAAGGCAGTGTAGTCCAGACAAGTCCTTCTTACTTTTTGGTGTCAAATGCAATCTGATCATCAAATCGTTCATAGATGTACTCCCAAATTCCACCCGTTTAATTGTTAAATCTCTCATTCTAAGGCGAATTGTTTGAATCGTGCTATTAAGTTCCAGTCAAGAAACGCTTGATGCAGCAGTTTGCGAACTTGTACATCAATTAAATAAAACAAATCGCTATTAACAACAAAAACGATGTAAAAAATTCTATACTTTAGTAAATGCGAAGAAGGTTAGTGCAAGAGTTTCTCTAAGGTACGTCTTGGTAACCAATAAATGAGAAAGGCTGTTTTATATGTGAAAATACGCACAACATGGAGTTGGTATTGGGAGCACTTTCGCGAATTCTTCTGACTCTTAATCGAGCTCCTTTTCTCAAGGAACGGTCATTTAGATGCCTTTTGATGATTGGGTTTTCCTGGCAACAATAAGATTTTATATTGTTACCTAATTACCAACGATCCTGGATTGGGATTTAAAAAGTTTGTGCTATAACATACCTTCAGCTTGTGGATCTGTTCCATGGAGTTGGTTTTAATAGTTGCAAACCGTTAGTGATTCTTATTTCTAAGGCAAGCTTCTATTTTCACAGTACCTCTTTTCATCTTAGTTCCACCCGTAGGATCTCAGCACCACCTTTCACCGGGCTCCAGTCACAACAGTGTCACTGCTTGCGATACCGGAGTTGTAAACCAAAGCGCACGAGATCGGATCCGTCGAAACAGACCGATATCACTTTTCCTTCCTGATCGTACCGGCCGATCAAATGATTCAAATCGACTCCTAAGAGCACCAAACTCTGGTGTTCGTGATAGTGATGACAAGGCAAACGCGGTCAATACTTCTAACGACGCTCCATCAACCAAGTCTCGTGCAGCCACGTGGTATCGAACGCGAACAGCCAGCGAAGAGGACAGCAGTTCTGTGTTGCTCCGTCCGTTTAATGCTCGTGGACGCAGTGGAGCGCACATCAATACTGCCGAATCGGAAGCACTTCGTTTGGTTTTGAGCAGTCACACCGAACCAACAAAATCCTCAGTGACAGAAAAGTTTGCGCAGGTGTGTTATTTTTATGCGTCCTATTTAATCGGCTGAACAACACAATTTAATTTGCCTTCAAAGTTATTTGTTTCTGGTTACTGCTTTGAGCAACCTTAGTAAAGAAAGCAATGACTAGTTAAATTTCACAGGTTTTAGAAATTTTTGTTTTGCCTGTATTTGTTAGTTGAGTATCTATAGTTGCCCTATCACGATGAGGCTGCATGTTGACACGGAGTAAGGACTTGTGGATCTCCATGGCGCAACGAGCCCCACAGAATGGCTTTTGTTAAGCCAAAGATATAATCGTGCCTGGAAGGGCAGAGGGCAGGGGTCAGTCAACGTCCAGTCTCCTAATCCTTCAGGTCAAGGTGTCTCGGTCGATAACAAAAGATTGAGAAGTAATTAATCTAAGTAGATATGTCTTCGCTTCACCCTACCCCTTCCATTGCGGTCAGATTCTTGTCAGAATTGAAAGCTTTGTTTGAGAACCCTATTCGTTTTGCTTAGTAATTGAAATACCTGTCAGTACTCGTCCATAAAGCTTCAATGAACACACTAAAAATAATTCCGTACTGCATTGATCATCGTCCAGGGAAGCGATGCCTTTCGCGTCAAGCGAGGCTAGTATTGATAAATGGGCTACTGCTCAGGTTTCCTTATCTTTACTTAATTATTTGTCTTCTATACCCAACCCCTCCCTTTGACCATTCTTCCGACCTGTAAAATTCGATCAGAAAACTTGTTTGCCACTCGCCAAAGCTCGTTGCCAGATAGGACTATGAGGAGTTTGCCGCTAAATAAATCGCAGGTTCTGAAGCCTCATCAATTAGTGAGTCTGGGGCATTCAACCTAAGTGCTAGTGTCGGTAGGCCATCAATTGTCTTGAGTGTATGATGGCTTATTTAGAAACGGATATCCACTGCGTATCGGGGATTCCAGTTCAGGATCCTAATAGTATTTCCTTCTCACATCAGGAGACGATAAACCCGAATCACTGGGCCAGCGTGGCTTAGGAATTGCATTGAACGATAAGGCTGAGGTCTCACTGACAGACTGAATATTCATCAACAGTCGTTTGTACGCCATGGGGGTCCAGTTAACGTTCGGGAGGCAAGCGACACCAAACGATGCTTGTTCAACTTTTCTGCATATGCACTAACCAACTGCCGCCACAATTCACAAAAGGACGAATTTTACGATCAACTCAACGAACTCATTCGGCTAAGCAGCAGGTCTGATATCATAGTGATAGCAATTTTAACGCATAGGTTGGAAAGATCTCGCAAACTAGTGGGCCAAAATAGCTTGTGAAATGGAAAGAGCGTTAGCATCAGGCAATGGCCGAAGGCTGTTTCAATGATAAGCAGCACCGGAGGTCGTCGCATGTCGTCAGGATTTAGACGCAGTCGCAGTTGCATCGACCGAAGCCGACTTATCCTCCCGCAGGAGTTAGTCGATCAACAGTAAAAGTAAGTATTAACCGCGAAGCTTAACGGATTCGTTTCTTCTCAAAGGAATGCCACAGAAGTACCTAAACCTATTGAGATCACTATACTTGCATACTTCTGGTGGCGTTAGGGCTTATGACACTAAGCAAATCGTTCAAATTCAGGAGCGGTGTTCGTCAAGTGTGCCCTTTTTCGCCATTCCTATTCAGTTTCGACGTGTAGAAAAGAAAATCGGAGAACGCATCAAAATGTTTGTATTGAATGGGTAACTAGAGAAAACTTGTACGATTTGTAGTATACTGACGATGTCGTTTGGCATCTCAAATGTACGAATGACGCGAGAAACGCTATTGACTTTCAAGTCCTGTAATTTTATTTTATGTGCACTTTGAAATTTCAGTGCTAAATGACGCTGCAGTACTGGACGTCATTTGCCCTGGCTCTGATGCTTGGTGTTCAGGAAATAGTTATGGTAACTTGCTTCTCCTACTTAGGTATTTTTCTTTTTGGGCTTGTACTTCCTTTTTTGAATTCACAATGATACAATTTTCAGGAAGGTGGGAATTGGCCAATTAAAGGGCTGTGTTAAAACTGAAACGTTACGTATACTGTACCACTGCGTTCTATTCTGCTTTACGGTTCCGAGACCCTCAATTTACCCGTGGAAGATGTCCATTGACTAGAAGTTTTCGACCATAAAATAAATAAATAAACGTCTTTTTAATTCCTCTTTTATTTGTTGGATATACAAATGTACAGTTAAATTTCTTGAAGGGGCTGCGGCCGTACAAAGGCTGCCGTTAGAAATACAGAAACTGGGAAGACGGGCGGCGATGAAGCTGTTCAAACCCGGGACTTCGGTGACCCGACCTGACCACTTTGCCATCACCACCATCAATGTTTGCGTAGTTTTGTGTACATGGGGCGGTGCGGGCCTGTAAGCAACACTGAAGTAAAATGTCGACTGTTTGGTAATGGTTTGGTGGAGACTTCGTTATCACATCTAATTCAGATTAGTCAGCTTCGCTGTTTGGCACATGTATTGCGCATACCAAGGTGTCGTCTACCACACCGCGTCTTATTTTTGCAGTTGCTGATTAAGATTGTTGGAAATCATATAGAGATCGACAGATAACGTAAGAATGAGCCATGAAATGCTCAGTACGATTAGGAAAACTAGGTGTCCAAAAGGTTGTAGCTGGTTTGTGGGAGCCACTTCTTATTCGATCAGAATAATTAAAAAAAGTATGTACGCACAGTTGGAGTTGGTTACTGTGTATGTCGATAACGTAAGTTCACTTTATTTGCCTCTCTTCAGTTAGGCCCAAACTCTGTCCATCTTTTACATTATCACTCACTTCGTGTATTTTATGTGCTTAGTAGTGATCAGTAAAGTCCATTTCAGTGTATTTCTATGTGCAATAATAACGATGATGTGGTTTTGAAAACACCGCACCTATCTGTAACTATAAGTACTAGGTTATAATAGTATAGGGTCTGCAAACCAGTTGAATAAATGATGTTTCATTATGCCCTAGTAAATCGATCCTCTCAATTTATCCTTATTTATTTTGCAATTTCACTGTGTAGTTTCTGTCGATGGATGAAGACCTGCATGTCGAACATCGATTCCAGTCGCCACGGATGCACAAATTCACACTCAAACACTACAGCGTGTTTAAAGCAGTATGGGACTGGATCATTTTGGCACTCATTATTTACACTGCCATCGCGACACCGTACACGGCTGTGTTTCTAATTGAGAATGGAAACAAATATGCCAAGTTAATTGCGGTAGGTTAACAAAAGAACGATAACCCCATTTTATTTTCCCCCATATATGCCCACTGTTTTGATCCTCTCTTTAATCGTGTTGTGTACACAAACAAAGTGTGGCTTGAAATAGGTTGTAAGGTTCGTTCTTTGGCGCATTATTCTTTTTGACTGGACCTTCTTTCTTATGATCACATGCCGTTTACCATTCAAGATCTCAAGGTTTAGGCCGCTGTTCGTGAACAAACCGCATGTCATTGTGATTATGGGGTTTGTGCGTTCACCTCCCTTGGCCTGGGCAACCTGTTAGCATAGCGCCTACAGGCAAAATGTGGGACTTTTATTCTTCGTTAGTATAAATATTATACCATGATTTTTGGATGCAGTTTGGACTCAGACGTCTGTGATATATATATATATATAATATTATTAACACTAGAGCAACAAGCGTTACTCATCCGGAACGGACAAACTATCATTGTATTATTTCCGGAACGATCAGTCCGGTGTTCTAATCAGGTTTCCTGTTTTTAATCAGCCATCTAATGAAGCCATATCCTTATCAGCTTCATGCAATAGCTGACTAAAACAGGAGATCTGACACCTGACACCATCATGACGAGACCGCATCTTGACGTGGTGTGATGGTGTCTGAACCTCTCTAGCCCAAAGAGCTACACAGGATGGCTTTAGTCAAGCCAGGAAGCTCGGAGGTCAGACGAAGTCCAATCTCGTGGTCCTCCAGATTGTGGGTTTGACTAGAATTTGCGTTTCAATCGGTAAAAAATGGTGCACGAGTAATCGATTCAAGTAAGTGAATCTCCACTTCGCTTGACCAGCCTTGCGGTTAAGTTCTTGTCAGAACTAAAGGCTTTAGACGAGAACCTTAATGGTTTTGCTTAGTGGCCGGACACCCTTGCAGTACCCATGCATCAAACCCCAATGCATACACAAACTCCGTTGTGAGTTTGACGGAAATCAGTGAAGTTCGCTTCACTGTACGGCGGTGGTAATATTGTGCACTTGGAAATGTTACTTGTTTTCTCAAACGGTCGTAAGCAGTTGCCCTCTTGCATCCACTCAGTTTATTCGCAAATTTAGTTTAATCGTATTCTTCATACTCACCTTGGTATCACTTCTGGCCTTCTACTTCTCGCCACCTTCATCCATTTGGGTAACCCAAAAGCGGTAACAAAACCCACCGCGCGAAAGTGTGTTTTGATTGCGTTTTTATGAACTGAACTGACTTCTCCAAATGAGTTTTCACTCGTCCGCACGTCCACTGGCCTCTGCTAATCGTTCCAGCTTAGGCATCATTGCGCCTATTGCGGTCAACGCTGGTCGTAGCAAATGTCAACTTATTGAAAGTTACCCCACTTATCATTACTTCTCATTGCCACGGATGGGCATCACTCATCACTTACACCAACAAACGTCCAGCACAAACAACCTGTGTCATCTGTTTGGTTTGGAGTACGAAAACTGTCCCAATCGATCAACTAATCGATAGCTCGCCCGAAGCTTCTCTCAACTTATCTCGTTCATGCAGAGGTACTCAAATCGCCTGTTCACCTCCGCTCGATTCAATGCGTTTCGGGTACTATCGGGCATAAATGTGCTTTTCCAAGCTACACTAATTGGTATGAGAAAAATAAATGAGACAGGGAAATTTCGTCATTCATTGGTTTACTATCCAAAGTCATAGATGTTACACTTAATTTTTTAA